GTCAGGGGTGTTGGAGAGATAGGGTGTTAGGGGTGTTGGAGAGGTGGGGTGTTAGGGGTGTTGGAGAGATAAGGTGTTAGGGGTGTTGTAGAGGTGGGGTGTCAGGGGTGTTGGAGAGATAGAGTGTTAGGGGTGTTGGAGAGGTGGGGTGTCAGGAGTGTTGGAGAGGTGGGTGTCAGGGGTGTTGGAGAGATAGGGTGTTAGGGGTGTGGGAGAGGTATGGTGTTGGAGAGATGGGGTGTTAGGGGTGTTGGAGAGGTGGGGTGTTAGGGGTGTTGGAGAAGTAGGGTGTTAGGGGTGTTGGAGAGGTGGGGTGTTAGGGGTGTTGGAGAGATGGGGTGTTAGGGGTGTTGGAGAGGTGGGGTGTTAGGGGTGTTGGAGAAGTAGGGTGTTAGGGGTGTTGGAGAGATAGGGTGTTAGGGGTGTTGGAGAGATGGGGTGTTAGGGGTGTTGGAGAGATGGGGTGTTAGGGGTGTTGGAGAGGTGGGGTGTTAGGGGTGTTGGAGAGTTGGGGTGTTAGGGGTGTTGGAGAGGTGGGGTGTTAGGGGTGTTGGAGAGGTGGGGTGTTAGGGGTGTTGGAGAGATGGGGTGTTAGGGGTGTTGGAGAAGTGGGGTGTCGATGTTGGAGAGGTAGGGTGTTAGGGGTGTTGGAGAGATAGGGTGTTAGGGGTGTTGGAGAGATAAGGTGTTAGGGGTGTTGGAGAGGTGGGGTGTCGATGTTGGAGAGGTAGGGTGTTAGGGGTGTTGGAGAGATAGGGTGTTAGGGGTGTTGGAGAGATAGGGTGTTAGGGGTGTTGGAGAGGTGGGGTGTCGATGTTGGAGAGGTGGGGTGTTAAGGTGCTGGAGAGGTGGGGTGTCAGGGTTGGTGGAGAGGTGTGGTGTCATGGGTGTTGGAGAGGCGGGGTGTCGATGTTGGAGAGGTGTGGTGTTAGGGGTGTTGGAGAGGTGGGGTGTCATGGGTGTTGGAGAGGCGGGGTGTTCGGGGTGATGGAGAGGTGGGGTGTTAAGGGGGAAGGAGGAGTTGGGTGTTGAAGGTTGGTGGGTCTGTTTAGGATTGAGGCGTTGTTATGATAGGGACAGTGACTGGTAAAAAGAACCCCCCCCCCCAAACTCTCCGAATATATGTCTACAAGTGCGGGGGGAAGGGGGGCCTCAAAACTGATAATTCGCCCTTGCGCTGGAATTGGCCCTACGCCAATAGTATACTTAATGTTCTACTTTTTAAAAAGTAGATGAAGTTAACACTAACCTAGCACTTATTCTCATGAAAACTATAATGTAAATAAAGTCTATGACACGAGACTTTGGCAAGCAAACACACATCTGACCAGGGGGTGTATATAAGGCTAGAGTTACTGCTCTTGATTTGAATAGGGGCCTGTTGTTGCTATGCAACAAAGTGTTTTCAATCTTAGATCATATTACAGTGATATAAACATGCCAAAAAAAGAGTAAATAACTCGCCTCTAATTAGGTGTCAACAAAATGATTAACATGGGGTGTTAGCAATTTTGTGAAGTGCTAATTTGTTATCTTGGGGGGGGGGGGGTGTCGGAGGGCGAGGGGTTGCGAGATTAGTGTGTAGAAGGTTTAGGGGTTGAGAATTGTAAGAAACGTGGCCCAATTAGTCTTGGCCACAATAGTGGAAAGAAGAAGATTATAAGAATACCCTATAGAACACTGACACACTGTAGGGATGAGGGAATCGTTTATCTTTTTCCGCGCATGCTCAACATATTGCTGAAACTTTCTTTTTTTAATTTCTGCGAATTTCCTGAATATGAAACTCGACAGTACGGCTGGCTTTATTTATAGCGCAGTGGAAGAAGGCAAGTAGATAGATTAATTGTGAAATGCATGAATGACCTGCGTTCAAATCTCGACACTAAGAGTGCTTCACTTGGTTTCTGTATGTGGTACCTCAGCATACTCGACTACACCATCTCAGACAGAAGCCGGAACTCGCAGCAAAAATCTTTCCCCTTAGAAACTCTACTTTACCTATCCACAAGATCCAAAAATGAACGCCATTTAACTCTCTTAATTTCCTTAACTACACTGCCAGGTTTACCTTTTCGAAGATAGGTAAACCAAATTACTTAATTGTATTCAACAAAATATTATAAAACAATGAAACTTGTAAGTTATTAACGGCAAAAAAGAAATGTATATATATATTGTTACGTCATTTGTATTTATCATGTTATGGTTTATGTCCATGGTTGCTAGGCAACAAACTCAAACATCCGGACACACAATGCGAGTCACTCACGCGACGGACTAAACCAAAAAAAACGCACTGCCGAACTCTCACACACTGTCTCTCCGCGAAGCTCAATAGGCCATAAACTTCAATACAGCTGAGAAATACAATGGGCATAAAAAATGTGGTTAAATATTCATTAGTTATCGATGGAATACAAACATACATATTTTATGTGTATATGTTCATACACAAGTATATATATATATATATATATATATATATATATATATATATATATATATATATATATATATATTTGTAATTATATGTGTATTAATAATGCATATATGTAAGTGTGTGTGTATACATATGTAGATATGTTTATATGTATATATAAATGTATGAATGTATTAATTATGCTTGCGCGCGCGTGTGTGTGTGTGTGTGTGTGTGTGTGTGTGTGTGTGTGTGTGTGTGTGTGTGTGTGTGTGTGTGTGTGTGTGTGTACGTGCTTATATATTGTTGGTGTATAATACTTGTATTGATGAGCTAGAATATGTTGACACTTACATCTCATCCAAACCATTTTATTTTTTCCTGCTATGTCATTGACCTCCCGTGTGAGTAGAATCCAACCGTCCGGCTATCCCCCCCCCCCCCAACTCCACCCCCCCCCCCCTGACGTCTGACACTGAGTGAGTTGAATTATTTAACCACGCGCCCACCTGTCCTCTCTGACATCGGCTCGTGCGTGTCTCGGATCAAGGTCAATGCCAAGGTCAGAAAAGGTACCAGATCAGCAGTCCTCACTCGTTAAGATTTAAATGAAATATTCAACACCATTAGAAGATAATCTATCGCTTGATGAATTTTCTTTATTTTATTCCTAATCAGAGTTTATTCCAGACTTGTTTCTCCGGGAGGGCACTTCAAATTTTCAGAGGGGGCGGACTAAAATTTCCGGGGAAGCGGACATTTGTTTATATATATATTTTCTGTATAAATTCCAATTCGTTCAGGGGGGGGGTGTAGACTTTCTTCGCCCCCCCCCCCCCCCCCCGAAGAGATGCCCCTGGAAGAAACACTGTTCCTTATTACCTAAAGAAGGTCTCAAGTTATTTTTGTTTTTTTTCCTTTTCATAAACAACTCAAATGTATTTTTTAAGTTATTTTATTTTGTAAACAGCTATTTAAAAAAAAAATTCTACTTCATTTATTCAAGCAATTATTCCTGCTCTTATCTTTTTTGGATTAATTCAAATGTAGTTTTATCTTACTTATTTCTTGTTTATGAATGTGTATATGTGTATTCGGGCGTGCGTGCGTGTGCATGTGTGTGTGTAGGTGTGTGTGTGTCTGTCTGTGTGTGTGTGTCTGTGTGTGTGTCTGTGTGTGTGTCTGTGTGTGTATGTGTGTATGTGTGTATGTGTGTATGTGTGTATGTGTGTGTGTGTGTGCGTGCGTGTCTGTGTGTGTGTTTCCGTGTGCGTCTGTTCGTCCGTCTGTCCCGATTAGCAAAAAAGCTGTGTCGTATCATATCTCTAATTTATTGCTCGAAACATAAACCTTGCTACAATCTCAACGTGTGTATGTACATTCATTGTCTCCCTTTATAATCCAAGGGATATAATCAATGTTTGTACGTACATACATTGTCTCCCTTGACTGATCGTTCACAAATACCTTGTCAATGTTTAACATATTCTTTGTTTTCTTTTTGTTTGCTGGCTGGGCCATTTCAATCCTTGGAAATCGATACGACTTGGAGTTTTTAACATATTTTACTGTACACTCGATACATTTATTGTCAGTATCGATTCCTTCTTTCAAAGCAAAATGTTAAAATAATAAAAAAATAATTCGCATTTTTTAAAAATTAAATACAAAGTTAACCGTACGGCAATTAAAACCTATCCCTAAATTTATTTTCTCATTTTAATCAATATCTTATATCTAACTATTCATTTAAATTTAATGTCTGTTTAATATCTTTTGGAGTCGCTTTATTACCACCGAATTAATAATTAGGTGTGCGGTTGGGGGGGGGGGGGGTATATTGCCTACGGTGATGAATTGAGTAACTACCCTCCTGTCCTTAAAGTTACTAAGACAATAAATGATCATCCATAAACGACGTTATACACCCAGACTTGTGATTTCAGACTTTGATGAAAAGATTTAAAGAAAGACAGATGGTTTCAGTCATGTGACGTGTATATATATATATATATATATATATATATATATATATATATATATATATATATATATATATATTTATTTATTTATTTATTTATTTATTTATTTATTTATTTATTTATTTATTCCCCGACCATAACTACCAGGGTAGAGGGGAGCTGGCTTTTCATTGAAATATAATGGCGACAAAGGTAATACAAAATCGGTGTTTTAAAAAGTGTGATGTCATTTTATAGCTGTTGCATAACATGTCTAACCTTTTGAACCCTCAGTACGTCCAATGGTATGTTTATTTTGATATTTCAAAACACCGCCGTTCCAACAAAACTATCACCAGACGATTGAAACAAACTGTCGATAGACAGCCTACACTAACCAGACGACACAACATATCGTGTGTACTGTACTAAATACAAAAGCAGATAATCCACGACCTGTCGTCACCGCCACGATTACCGCCCCTTGATTTCTTACCTTCTTTCGCTTTCAGCCGGAAACCCCCGGAAGCAGACGCGCCGTCTGCGCATGCGCGGCGAGGTCATCGCTATGACGATCTCTATGTCAACTCCAGAGAGCGTTGTCTGGAGCGCGCGCTGGTTCCTTACATATGTGGCACTGCTCATTTGAATACAGTCGTTAGTTGGGAGTCTTGAGAGCGGTGCTTTAAGCCCTGGGGTGGTCGGTTCTGTGAGAATTGGTTCTTTAATGCAGATTTCATCAGCAGACAAGTGCCTCGTTTATATTTTCTAGTCTTTCTTTTCAGTCAGGTAAGTTGTTAATTAAAAAAAAATATTTTTACTATTTCCTATTTTTCAGCAATAATGCTTTACCACTCATACTAGTAATACTAAAATGTATTAAGAAATTTAAAGTGAATAAATTCACTTTCAACACACACAAAAAATATAATATAAAAATGTCCACAATTTTTTAGGAAATATTGAAGGATAATAAAAATGTATGAATGTGTAGATGTATTGCACAACGTTCATGTGACATTGTCTTCAAATGCTATATAGAACAGCAGGTTTATAATTTTATGTACAATGGGTTTAAAACATGTTATCGTAGTGTATAAGAAGAGGTTTTCAATGAAAAAAATATGAAAAATAGGCTGTTTACAATGATGTTTTTTTTTTCGGGGATATAGTTAAAACTGTATCATTAAAATCAGGGGGAATAACTCTTGATTATAGGATTTTCAAAATAGTTGTATTCATTGAGAGTAAAAATGTATTTGTAGCCAATAGGTTGTGTCAAATTTGGGTCTATTTAGCCAATATATTGTAACTATTTTTATAAACAAATACTGGAGAGCTTATGTATTATATAAAAATGCTTATAATTATCTATATTATATTACAAGATAATGATATGCAGTTTTTATATAACCTTAATTATTTACAATAAGTATTGATTATTTAATCTTGTGAGGATTATCCAACAAAGAGGAGCTGACATTATTGGGCTATCTGTAGTTAACGCTTAGGTTATGTATACACTATTGTCAGCTAGTACATATGATCTAATATCAACAGTTATCGGTTATAGAATAACATGGATAACAATATTCTAAGAAAGGACAATTTTATTGTATATAATCAACCGAGAATATTTATCATATATTATTTTTAAAAAATATATAGATGTATCCTCTAAGGGCGATAACTCACTGTTACGGGAGGGTGGAATTAAAGTTTATAATTGTTATACAATATAAAATAAAAATACCGATAACTCCATTTTATAAGCCAAGGGCGGTAACTATTGCATTTAAAACCAAGGGCGATAAAATCAAAAACCCGTAGCCCAAGATCGGATCATTAGAGGCTATTAAAGTTCGACCTGCAATCGGAGCCATAAAAATCGATTGATTTATATGAGATTTTTAATATCAGGAAATCAATAATCGCGTTTTGAACTGTAAAGCGTGTGTTAAACGCGTTGAAAAAAAGCGCATGTGTTGTATACTGTCACGATGTTTTCTAGTAACTGCCGAGGGTGTTTTTTGATGTATTCGTTGTGTCAGTAATAACTAGTACTGGTAACTAGGTTTGTCATGCTATTGACATACAGATGACAAATGACATGATTTTGTGACGTGCGTATATGTACGGATACGTTTGTTACTGTAGGTGGATATGTGAAAGTTTTGTAGAGTAGGCACATGTGTGGTGGCACTTGTGTTGAGCGTGTTATGGAGTGGATGTATGAAGAACACGTGCGTTGAGTGTGGTGGTGATGGTGTAGCACATGTATTGTTAGTGGGATGATGTTGTAACCCCATACATTGATACCGTAGTGATGTTGTACCTCCTATTGTTGATACCGTGGTGATGTTGTAATCCCATACGTTGTTACTGTGGTGATGTTATACCCCCTATTGTTGATACCGTGGTGATATTGTAAAACTCATGTGTTGATACCGTGGTGATGTTGTAACCCCATGTGTTGATACCGTGGTGATGTTGTAACCCCATGTGTTGATACCGCGGTGATGTTGTAACCCCATGTGTTGATAGCGTGGTGATGTTGTAACCCCATGTGTTGATACCGTGGTGATGTTGTAACCCCATGTGTTGATAGCGTGGTGATGTTGTAAGCCTATATGTTGATAGTGTGGTGATGGTGTAAGCCTATAAGCACGTTTACTATATATCCCTGCATCAACCAAATGTGTACACATTTCCTCTACACAATGTGGTAAACACCACAATGGCGTTGGTACACTTCCTGTGTACCCACCCACGTACCTCTCTATATCCCACTACTATTTAACTCCTCATTTAAAACCTATAACAACCTACAGAAACCTGAAAGTTTTACATCATGTCTACAACACTCTGCAACAAACCTCCAACTTAAGTAAATCCACGAAGTATATCTTTGGGCACGTATACTGCTACTTAGTCTTATACTTATACTACATAGCTAATCTTAGTATATATATATTTGAACACGTACGTTGCAACTTATAGTGTGCGATAACCTTTCACCACCTTTGAATCTTATTTCGGGGCTGGGGAGAAGGGTGTACGATATTATCCCTAAAAAGGCATAGCATTTCCTAATGATAAAAGTGTATAACATAAAAATCTCGTGTATATTTTTAACAGATAAACTCCCTCTACCATTTGCATATCGCAGTGTTAAATCGATTATTGCCCTTGCTAAAAATACAAACCTACAAACACAGTGAAATAATGTGAACGGACTTTAGATAACGTAGACACTTTTTTTTTATTTGAGAAAGAAAGGGTGCGACAAGTTCAAAATAAGACTAGCAATTTTACCCGTCTCATTGTTATGTAAACAACAAAAAGGAAATTATACGTCTTACGTGTCTGTCTTAGTTCAATTCAGTCCAGGCATTTATGTTTCAATTTTCTTAACATATGAATACACAGTGCTACCGTGGTGCATAAAACCCTATTCATAATCTTCATGACCTGTGACCCCACCCCCCCCCCCCACACACACACACCCCGGATTATGACGTACGGGGTTTAGTGTGTGTGGAGTTTATCCAACTGCTATCGACCGGAAACAGGCCGGTCGTGACGACAGCTCATAAAAGTAATTTTCGATACGCTTCATTGATTTTTCGGGCCGTTAATTATCTCCGGGTGAGGGGGCGGGGGCAAATCTTCCGTTTCGGAAACACCGGAAGTTGCTAAAAACGATTGACATGGGTGGGTTATAGAGACCCGTGTTTGACATGGGTGGGTTATAGAGACCCGTGTTTCATATGGGTGGGTTATAGAGACCCGTGTTTGACACGGGTGGGTTATAGAGACCCATGTTTGATATGGGTTGGTTATAGAGACCCCTGTTTAACCTGGGTGGGTTGTAGAGACCCGTGTTTGACATAGGTGGGTTATAGAGACCCGTGTTTGACACGGGTGGGTTATAGAGACACATGTTTGATATGGGTGGGTTATAGAGACCCGTGTTTCAAACCGTTCTAGCAAACATAGAGGTGTTGTATTTGTGTCCTTTATATGGTCGTATAACGAAGAAGCAAACATAAAGGTGTTGTTGTTTCATCCTTTAGACGGGCGTATAACGAAACAGCTAACATAAAGGTGTTGCTCTTGTGTGCTTTACATGGTCGTATAACGAAGAAGCAAACAGAGTTATTACTGTTGTAGATGATCATATAAAGTAAAACATAAATGTTAGTAAATTGATACGTAGGTCGGACTCTGAACGACTTAGCTCGTATGCAAAAAATACAAAATGTAGAATAAATTTAACATTGATACTTTTTGTTGTAGTGATTATTATAAAAATTGTGTAGTTTTTACCTTCCCACATAAATGTGGATGATGTCCCAGCTATCTTGTTCCATAGTTCTTAAGCGCTACCGGTGTTTCCAGACTTTTTTCTCCGGGGGGGGGGGAGGCACTTGAAATTTTTTTTGGGGGGGTAGACTTTCTTCGGGGGGGGGGGGGGGCGGACACTGTTAAAAGTATATATTTTCTATATAAATTATATAAATTTCATTTATTTCATTTTGTTCGGGGGTGGGGGCGGTAAAAAAAGTTCGGGGGAAACCCCCCTCCCCCACCGAAGAGATGCCTAGAAGAAACTCTGAGCGCTACGGAAAACAAATCGTTACTTAAAGGCTAAAATGTTTTATATAATTACATACACCACCCCTATCTTCCACACCCCGCCCCCACACACCCTCTATTTCCCTCCCACAATGTAGCCCAAACCGTGTTCGCGGTATTTTTTTTTTAAATGGTTCTTCACCCCAAAATCAGCTGCGGCCACTGACCTAGTCAATGAATCGATGACTATTGATTTCACTTCGCTGCATTATTAAACCTGTTCAGCTTCCTTTCTCTGTTCACACACACACACACACACAGCTAAAATCCCCGTCACACACACCGCTAAAACCACCAACACACACACCACAAAAAACCCTCAGTCACACGAACTATTAAAACCACCAATCATACACACACACACACGACTAAAACCCCCACACACTCTTCTAAAAACCCAGGTCACACACACGCACACACAGACACACACACAGACTAAAACCTCCAAGAACTTGGACCTAACCCCGTCAGTCCACTTCCCACTGCCCATCCCACCTCCACTCAACCGAGCACGGTACGGTTTGTGAACTATTGTTTCGTTCTTCTGTGATCGATATTTTATACTTGTTTTGTTGTTTGTATTGAATAATTGAGTATTTAAACAAAGAATGTTTTTATGTTGATGGTGTTGGCATTAAGTGTCGCCATAGCAACTTTAGAAAACCGAGTCGACACACCTCCGTTTACATTTATTGATTATTATTTTTAATTAATGATTTTTTATGGCAAAAATGTTTAATTATTTTTATATCATTTATTGTTATCACTTTGTCGTCAAGGTAACGGTTGTTGACACTTATTAACACCAAACGTAATAGAAGTAGGCCTAAAGCTCACGACTGCTAACTGTGACGTGTCAGTCCACCCAGCTCTGATAAGTACTTGACTCACTTCAGGGGAAGTAAGTTCCCGTGGACATACAGCTGGCTTTATGGGATGGCATGGCATGGCCTAGCGGTAGGGACCTTGACTGCTAACCAGAAAGACTCGAGTTCCAATTCTGGTACAAGTCAGTAGGACTTCTTTGAGTCCACCCAGCTCTGACGGTTACCTAATTCACGTTAGGGATAGCAAAGGCGGCTGGGCATAGTGCTGACCATACTGTACCTTCATATGCCGAGGTCTCTGTAACAGGTAAAATCTACTTCATCTGCCCTATGATGAAGGTTACAGAAACAGGTGATCTCTATCTTCATTATTGAGTTAGACCGAAAAACGGTAACTCTAACCAAACACTAAATCAATCGTCTATTACTAAAACGCCTTATCCTGACCCCCAACACCATGCTATAAGAGGTGAAGTAGAGTTAATGTAATGTTTTTTTGTAAATGAAAGTAAGGGTGGTATTGCGAGCAGTGAGACTAGTAGAATTTCAGTTTATACAAATCAAGTCAGGTACCCATTAGAGCTGGGTGGGCTCACGGACGTCAGGTACCCATTAAGGTAAATCTACGACTAAAATCCGAGCAATAAAAAGACAGTAGTAATACTGGTATACATGCTGCAGTAACACTATCAACGGTTGTTGTATGTCCCATACTGATCCAACGCCATATCTACCTCAAGTGGTGCTAAACCCTGTCCTGCAACTTACCCAACTAAAACATTGAATTTAACGTGGGTGGGGTGATTATAGCATAGTCAGCACTTTCTCATAGCGGTCTGTTAGTCACGCAAGCAATACAAGACTCCTAGCTACACATTGTATACACGATACTGACTACTAGCTTTGCGTGAAGCTTCAATGAATGCTTTTAAGCCGAACACAGCCTTAACATTAATACTTACTTTACCTAACCATATCGGCAAACTGAGCAGATCATAACCTAGCATTGATCATGTCTTCCAATCGTTATGACTGACAGTTTTCAAATTTACCAAACATTTACCTACCTGTATGGCGTAGGAAAAAGATATATATATATATATATATATATATATATATATATATATATATATATATATATATATATATATATATATATATGTGTGTGTGTGTGTGTGTGTGTGTGTGTATATATACTGTTTTCATGACATTAATATTTTGAATTTATAAATATATAACGACTCGAGGGCACAGCGCGGCCAATAACTGTAACTTAACACGAGGTCATTTTCCTCTTGCCCGTCAGTGGGGGTATTCTAGCCCCGTAACACCCCCTGTCTACGCCACCGTATGATATGGTTCAACTTTATTCACACTAAATGCATGAAATAATGCTCGGCCGAGGTTGTGACGTTATAAGACTAAGTTCCCGGAACTTTTTTATCAAACGTTAAGTTGAACGATTAACAACCCCCGTGGGTGACGTGTCACAACAACCCCCGTGGGTGACGTGTCACCTTGAATGCCAGATCACCCCACAGGTTTACAATCCGGCTGATTCCAGATAAGAAAGTTGTTGCAAGTGCATTGTAGGTAAACACAGGCCGTTATATATCAGCCGGCGAAATGAATTTTTTCCCTTCTCCCCGTGTTAATACGGAACACTAAGGGGAGGAACCGTGTGGTTCACAGGGGACATAATCGGTGACGAATGTGTGGCTTACTGCCCCTGCTGTCACAAACCCGTATAAAAAACGGATCAAATAAGTATTTCTTTACGAATATGACTACTGTATATTTGTTTACGAAAGGCTGATTAAGAGGTCCAAGTGTCAACTATACCCCCAACCCGCCCTCGCCAATAGGGCTGGTAAGTAGGTCACCAACCAGTTCTACGGCTCAATAAAACCTGCATGGTTCGTGAACTACTTACCAGCCCTATAAAACACATGTGAGAAATTAAGTATACGTGTCAACTGGTTATGCGCCAATCAGCCTGCTTTTCTTTTTTGCTTCCATAGCAAGGCAGCAGTTGTTTGATTTTGGAGTTGTCTCTCCTAGAAGAGTGGCTGTCCCCAGCTAACGAGCCTCAACTGCCCGATTGTTCGAACTCTAGACTTTTCGGGTAACCAACCATTAGCTTTACCAACTCGACCACGCCGACATTAACACATCTAAGGGGTTGAAATGTTAGAAAGTCACAGTTTATTATTCACATTTTTGTTACTATTTTATTTTTCCGTTTACGAGAAATGAAATACAAAGCTACTGGCGATTTTAGAATTTAAAACGTCAAAATCGTTTTCCCCCGATTAAAAAATAAAAAACGGGTTTTCCCGATGCAAGCACCAGCAAGAATGAAAGTGAACGCGCTGCGCACCCAATTCGGCGCACAAGACCGTCAGCCATTTGCCAGACGGAGCTTTTTGCTTGAGCCAGTGGAGCCTGCCGTCGACAGGACATCAGCGAACCTGCAGACATGGCCTGCGAGTTAAAATGCCCGCCCCGCCCTCTGACCATGTCAGAAAAAGTACATCCGTCAAAGTGCACGTGCGTGTTCATTAGTTTTAGCATTTAGTACTCAGCTTCTTTTTAAAGAATACGCGTTCGTGTGTAGTATATGTGATGTGACGTCATTGTTATTTTAAATCTTGCATCAAAATAGATCTAGATCTAGATAGATCTAGGATTCTCGATCTAGATCAAATAGGCCTTAAATATATGGATCTGGGACATTGGTTATTTAGGGGATTAGGTTAATGTTCGTTGGTATCGATATTCCAAAGTTATGTGTTGCTCATCGATACTTTGTTTTGAGACTTTTGAGGCTTTCTATTTCATTTGGTTGAATACATAGATATTGTCTTTCTTAGATCTAATTACTATTGGATCGTGTTAAGGATTATACATTTACCGTCACTTGGGTAGTTCAAAATAACCTAGATATAATTATTATTGATCAGCAGGGCCTTTTGTTCGCCTAATAATTCGTTACATTAACCAACCAACAATAGTGGAATGATTGTCAATTTTAGAGGTTGACTCACGTGTATTTAAGAATACTGTATATATATATATATATATATATATATATATATATATATATATATATATATATATATATATATGCGTGTGCATGTGTGCGCGTGTTTGTGTGTGTGTTAAAATCTTACTATTCTTTTAAGTTGGTGCTATGCTGGGTTAACAAAGCTACATATTATCCCAATCCCTCTCTCCCAGAATGGCGTACTACGACAGCCCCGCTCTAGTGCGCACGCGCAGTGCCACGCCCATCACGCCAGAGATGTCCAAGATCTTGCCCTACGTCACAGACAAGACCATCGCCCGCCATCTTGGTAGCTACGGACGCTCGATGGATCTGGGTCACGCCAAGACTTACTTTAACCCTGCCACGTAAGTCACGCCATAATTACATAGGATTACATGTGATTACATATGATTACTTATGTTTACATATGAATACACAGTTATATATGTTTACGACGTGGTTGGTTGGATTATCGCACGTCTCTTAAACTCAAGCTGCGGAACCTATACGAGCTTGAGACTGTAGAACATCCCTGAGTACACCCAGCTCTAATGGGTACCTGACTCTTATTAAGGAGAGCAACGCGGCTGCAGTGTTTCTTCCAGACTTTTTTCTCCGGGGAAGGGGGGGGGGGCACTTAAAACTTCGGGGAGGTGGGAGCGGACTAAAATTTCCGGGGAGGGGGAGGCGGACACTGTTAAAAGTATATTCTCCCCCCCCCCCACCCACCGAAGAGATGCCTGGAAGAACCTGCGCGGCTGTACATAGAACTGACCACACTATCCCTTCATATGCCGAGGTCACAGTAACAAGTGAACTCTACTTCGGGACTGAAATGGCAACTTCACTTAATATATTATTAATATTTTATGTTCAGTTAATGTTCATGTATTTTCACATACAATACACTACATAAGCTGATGTGTGCTGCTGTATGTAGATGTCTGTTATAAGTCAATATATTCTGTATGTAGATGTATGCTGTGTGTAACTGTATGCTCTATGTATCTATATGCTGGATGTATGCTGTATGCTGTAACCCCCTCTTGTACTCACCCACAGACGCACCGTGTACTCCCGATACCAGCCCAACGACTGGTTCCTGTCCAACAGCTGCAACTACTCCATGTCTGACAAGGAGCGGAGCTTCGCCGAGCGGCTCAGGGCCGACGCATGGAGGGCCGTCAAAGAAACAGACGCCCGCACCAGAAACAGACAAAATGACGTCACTAAACGCCTAGGTACGTCCTTTGAAAGAATGTTTTAGTTAGTACGTAAAACAGAAAATTTATATTCTATAGCGGACTAATGCATAATGTCCAGGGATTTATCAAAATGGATAGTGTGACCTGTTTTTAAATGTACCTGTGTGCTGTACCTGTATGTTTTTTCCTAATGTGTGATGTACCATTGTGTGCCTTTTATGTGTTCTGTAACTTTATGAAATACCTGTGCGTATGACCTTTATGTGTACTGTACCTGTGTGTGACCCTATGCGTACTGTACCTGTATGCTCTACCTGTACGTATGACCTTTATGTGTGCTATACCTGTGTACTCTACCTGTACGTATGACCTTTATGTGTACTGTATATGTATGATCTACCTGTACGAATGACCTTTATGTGTGCTATACCTGTATACTCTACCTGTACGTATGACCTTTATGTGTACTGTATATGTATGATCTACAAGTACGTATGACCTTTATGTGTACTGTATATGTATGATCTACCTGTACGTATGACCTTTATGTGTACTGTACCTGTGTGTGACCGTATGCGTACTGTACCTGTATGCTCCACTTGTGCGTATGACCTTTATATGTGCTGTACCTGTATGATCTGCCTGTATGATATGTGCTGTACCTTTATGATCTGCCTGTATGATGTGTGCTGTACCTTTATGATCTGCCTGTATGATGTGTGCTGTACCTTTATGATCTGCCTGTATGATGTGTGCTGTACCTGTATGATCTGCCTGTATGATGTGTGCTGTACCTGTATGATCTGCCTGTATGATGTGTGCTGTACCTGTATGATCTGCCTGTATGATATGTGCTGTACCTGTATGATCTGCCTGTATGATGTGTGCTGTACCTGTATGATCTGCCTGTATGATGTGTACTGTACCTGTATGTCAAATCTCCCAAGGTGAGAGGGTGCAGGACATAGCGTTCTGGAAGTCAGAACTCAACAACGAGATCAATGCCATGGCAACAGAGATGGAGAACCTCAAGGTACCAGCCGAAATGGCTGACCCTTTGCCTAGCCAGCGTGCCTAGCTTTCAAAATGGCTGACCCTTTGCCTAGCCAGCGTGCCTAGCTTTCACTAACACTAAAGCCCCCCCCCCCCCTTGTCTTGCTATAAAGCACCCCATCGTCTTGGTTTAAAGCACATTATTGAGCTGACGTAAAAAGCACTTATTTTCAGTTTGAAATATTTCACTCTATTTCAACAGGAAATGGGTGAATTAAACTTAAACAGATACGTTTTGAATTAAACAAGGAACATTATGATAAAATCAGCAATGCGGTGCCATTGATTTTAAAAGTATTTATCAGAAAATGGCATCTAGCATCACCATTCAACAGTCGATGGGTTACTTTGTTCTCAACACAGCACTAACTACTAACGTAGCGGCTTTATTGTTGTATCGTATACCCTCTTTCTGCTGCATGCTTCTAGATGTAAAATATCATCGACTGCTTGAGCTCTTTGTGAAATGCTTGCTTTCTAATTATGTTTATGTGTATATTATGTATTTGTTTTTTTTTAATTACATTTTTGTGTATTCTCAGTTATTTCTGAATATGTATTTTATCAGTGTGTTGTTGTTTTTATTTTGCTTATAAATATAAACTGATTTTTTACTAACTGTAAGCTAAATGTATTTTTATTAGCAGAAGCTTTTCTTAATCGTTTTCAATTTTTTTTTAATACATTTATGTCACTGTTCTACAAGCTCTACATCAAAGAGGACTCGTAAAACAAATGTTCTATACACCGTATCCATTGCTCATGAGTGACACTGGATTTGTGCGTCTATTCTCTTTTGTATATGGGTACTCTAGTATCCTTTCCTAGCAACCAAGCATTCTATTCAGTGTACTGTAGTATCATGTCCAAGTATTCAGTATTTGTATCAAAGTATCGTGTGAAGTATCCACGTTTTTTCTGTGCAAGTATCCGCTTGTATCATGTGTTTATGTCTGCATCTTTCCTATGCCACTATCCAAGTTATCATTTGCGACTATCAGCCTGTATCCAGTGCTGCTAGACGCGTGTATCCAATGCCACTATACGCTTGTATCTTGTATCACTATCCGCTTGTTTCCTGTGCCACTATCACCCTGTTTCCTGTGCCACTATCCCCTTGTATCCTGTGCCACTATCCGCGTGTATCCTGTGCGACTATCCCCTTGTATCCTGTGCCACTATCCCCTTGTATCCTGTGCTAGTATCTACGTAGATGTATATCTTGGGATCCCCAGGAGAACGTGTGTATGACATCAGCTTTTGGAAGAGTGAGTTGAACAATGAGATCAACGCTATGGCCTCGGAAGTGGAGAATTTGAAGGTAAAACAGGTCGTTTACAGGTGTGGGCTGTAAAGGTAAAACTGGTTGTTTACAGGTGTGATGTGTAAAGGTAAATACGTCGTTTACAGGTGTGGGCTGTAAAGGTAAAACTGGTTGTTTACATGTGTGGGGTGTAAAGGTAAAACAGGTCGTTTACAGGTGTGGGTGTAAGGTAAAACAGGTCGTTTACAGGTGTGTGGTGTAATGTAAAACAGGTCGTTTACAGGTGTGTGGTGTAAGGTAAAACATGTCTTTTAAGCGTGTGGGGTGTAAGGTAAAACAGGTCGTTCACAGGTGTGGGGGTGTAAAGGTAAAACTGGTCTTTTACATGTGTGGGGTGTAAGGTAAAACAGGTCGTTCACAGGTGTGGGGGTGTAAAGGTAAAACTGGTCTTTTACATGTGTGAGGTGTAAGGTAAAACAGGTCGTTCACATGTGTGGGGGTGTAAAGGTAAAACTGGTCTTTTACATGTGTGGGGTTAATGCAAAACAAGTGGTTTACATGTGTGCGGTGTAAAGTAAGACAGGTCGTTAACAGGTGTGGGGTGTAAGGTAAGACAGGTCGTTTACATGTGTGGGGTGTAAGGTAAAACAGGTCGTTTACAGGTGTGGGGTTAATGTAAAACATGTCGTTTACAGGTGTGGGGTGTAAAGGTAAAACAGGTCGTTTACGTGTATGGGGTTAAGGTGAAACAAGTTTTTTACGGGTGTGGGGTGTAAAGGTAAAACAGGTCGTTTACAGCTGTGGGGTGTAAAGGTAAAACAGGTCGTTTACGTGTATGGGGTTAAGGTGAAACAAGTTTTTTACGGGTGTGGGTGTAAGGTAAAACAGGTCGTTTACAGGTGTGTGGAGAATAAAACAAAGTTCTTACTAGTGTTTCAATCTCCTGCAATTCTAGCTTTCGCTTTCTTGTTTTTCTGCTAAATTTATTAGAAGTGGTGTGTGATATCTAATCATTGTATTGTCTAGCTTAGTGCTTCTCAAAGTGATATTTGCTGCGCTTTACTAAACGCTTTGGTCACATATCTTTTAATTATATTTAATTAATAATCTTTAACTTCAGTTAAGTATTTAGTTCTATTTTAATAGCATTGGACAAAAATATGTGTTTTATGCACTAGGCGTCGCAATTTTTTAACAACATTATGAGCAGCCCTTATGTAGGAATTGTTGCATTTGGTTATTGGTGTGTTAGCCAGTCATTTCAGGGGTTAAGTTTTTTAAACATAATATCAAAATGAAGAACACATTTGCGATGTGATTTGTTAAAATTTGCATTCAATAAAAACCTCTAACTTTCATCACATGATCTAAATACATGACAATAACGTTAATGTTGCTGTTACTATTTGAAAAGATTGCTTACAAATTAAAAAATTTTCTAATATGTTATAGGTCCATGAATTCTATTCAATATTTTAGTTACTTTTTGCGATTTATATATGAGAATGTTATAGTATATATAAATTGTAATGTATTTGTTTCTTTTTTTAGTATTTTATAAAAAAAATAAACAAATACATTTCTATAACAATTTAAATAATGTATTATTAACGGGAATTAAGTTCTAAGTTACATAAATCGATTTATTTTATTTTATTTTTTAAAGAAAAATTAGAATAGTAATTTATTCATTTATCTCGTTCAACTTTTTCTTCATTGTACTGACCTGTCGTCCTATTGTTAGTTGGTCACACTAACGTTTCGTCCCGCTGTCATCTCGCCCACAGGAGTACAAGCGTACGTGTGAGAAGGCGTTAGCCGACACGGCCAACCCTCTCCACATCGCGGAGGAGTGTCTGATGAACAGGGAGAAGAGGCAGGGCATTGACCTGGTCAATGATGACGTGGAGAAATCGCTGGTCAAGGTAGGTCAGCGCCATGACAACAGCATGACATGGGAGTGTCATTTGCATGTCAACACCGTGACAACTGAGTGTCATTTGCCTGTCACAACATGACCACAGCAACTGGCATTAATTTGTTCATGGGGGATGGGGAGGGTAGAGGAATCTGCATTTTTATTTTATGTTTATCTTTAACTATAGTTAAACATTTGTACAGGTTTTTATACATGTATTTAATTAGACAAAAATAGCGTACCAACTTTTATTGTGTTAATTCACCATTTTTTTCAAATTTCCTCTACTTAAGAATAAAACATGCTACAGTAATATTTTTTTTTTACTTAAACCATGTTTTTAAACTTAGAAATGATTGGAAAACTGATAACTTACCTTTTGTATTGTAAACACTACACTTCACTCTTTACTATTAACTCCCACACCCAACCTTTCCACCTTGAGAATTGCAAAAGATAAATTCCATATAATTTTGTATATGTGAATAATTTATACATATTTTTATATCATTTATCACCATTTTTAATACAATGTATTAAATTACAATGTAATAATACAAGATCTGATTCGTGTATCTACTAGGAAGTGGAGGTAATCAAAAAATGTCAAGCTAGAATGAAGAGAGTATTGGACAAGGCTTACGTTCAACTGAAGTAAGGATTCATATTTTTCAAATATAGTCTAAGGGAAGTAACTGAATAAATGTTTTTTACAATTTGCATTAGGTTATTGTTCCTGTTTTTTTTTTTTTTTTATAAATCTGATACTACGTTGTATAGTAACTATTTTTAGACTTGTGTTAAAAAAGAAAAAGAAAGAAAGAAAAAAGTACACTAACCCCACCCCTCTTCCCCACCCCCATAGGATGGATCGCGCAGCCCAGCATGCCTTAGAGATCGATGCCAAGGACAAGCACCACGCTCAAGGTCTTGATGACCGCATGCAGCAGTTGAGAAACTCTTCAGCAGGCGTTGGCTACGTCCCCGGTATTGAGAACATCGACAACACGTGAGTAGACGTCACACCTTGTGTTCGGTTGTTTCCGTAAAGTTCCGGGTGTTTCCGATGGTTTTATTTTTAATTTTGTCATTCGGTCGCTCAACTTTCTATGAGATTTTAACTCAATGGTTTTTTTTTTCAAAATTAAAAATTCGCTTTTTATAAATTAGTTTATGATTATGTTATTTCGCAAGTGTAACCAGATGTTCATTTGTTATCCACTAATATCTATTATCCATAATGAACAACCTGGCAACATTTAGCATAAACGTGGGTAACTTTTGGCCAATAACAAGTCAAAAAGCTACAAGATAAATCTAAGGGAGTAATGAAAAGTCAAGAGATCATCATGTAGCTTTATGTAGCCAATCTTAAGCCAGCAATCATCGTGTAGTCGCTATTAGATGAATTTTCAATAGTCAGCTAGCTATCAGCATGTAATCGATATTTAGCTAGCAATCAAAATGTAGCCAATATTCAGTATACCATCAAACATGTAGCCAATAGTCAGCTAGCTATCAAACATGTAGCCAATATTTAGCTATCTATCAAACATGTAGCCAATATTTAGCTATCTATCAAACATCAATATTTAGCTAGCTATCAAATATGTAGCCAATATTTAGCTAGCTATCAAACATGTAGCCAATATTCAGTTAACTATCAACATGTAGCCAATATTCAGTAAGCTATCAACATGTAGCTAATATTTAGCTAGCTATCAAACATGTAGCCAATATTCAGCTAGCTATCAAACATCTAGCTAATATTCGGCTAGCTATCACACACGTAGCCAATATTCAGATAACTATCAAACATCTAGCTAATATTTAGTTAGCTGTCAAACATGTAGCCAATATTCAGTTAGCTATCAACATGTAGCCAATATTGAGCTAGCTATCAAACATGTAGCCAATATTCAGTTAGCTATCAACATGTAGCCAATATTCAGTTAGCTATCAAACATGTGGCCAATATTGAGCTAGCTATCAAACACGTAGCCAATATTCAGTTAGCTATCAAACATGTAGCCAATATCCAGTTAACTATCAAACATGTAGCCAATATTTAGTTAGCTATCAAACACGTAGCCAATATTCAGTTAGCTATCAAACATGTAGCCAATATCCAGTTAGCTATCAAACATGTAGCCAATATCCAGTTAACTATCAAACATCTAGCCAATATTAAGTTAGCTATCAAACATGTAGCCAATATTCAGTTAGCTATCAAACATCTAGCCAATATTCAGTTAGCTATCAAACATGTAGCCAATATTCAGTTAGCTATCAACATTTAGCCAATATCCAGTTAGCTATCAAACATGTAGCCAATATCCAGTTAACTATCAAACATCTAGCCAATATTAAGTTAGCTATCAAACATGTAGCCAATATTCAGTTAGCTATCAACATTTAGCCAATATTCAGTTAACTATCAAACATGCAGCCAATATTCAGTATACCATCAAACATGTAGCCAATACTTACCATCTGACCACCCCCCCTCCCCAGCATCACCATCCCCGAGTCGTGGGCCCGCTACACCCAGGAGAACATCGCCCGGTCCCAGAAGGAGCGTGCTGCCAGCGAGAGACTGAGGGGGGAGATCGACAGCACCCTCCGTCAGTGCGCCAACGACATGTGGAACAACTTCAACGCCGTCAACAACGCCTTCAACACGCGCATCCGCGAGACCACCGATGCCAGGAACAAGTTGCAGGCGCACCTGCAGAAGGTAACCTTGACCTTGTGTTCAAAATCTGATTTTGCTTAGTTTCATTTTCAAGTTACTGCTATCTTATGACTGTAATGACCGAGGGTCACTATAGGAGCATTATGGGTGTTTGTTTTATATTATTCTAGGGTGTAAGTGAAAGGGTGACTTATCTAAAAAAAAAAAAATTAAAAAAAAAAAAAAAGCTCTTGTACTTAAGAAGCTAGTGATCTTAGATTGTAGTAGATAATTATTTTTAAAAAATTGTATCCGTAAATTTATTACTTTAAATATTATTTGAGTAATTTGCTAATACCTTTATTTGTATCTCTCTCCTCCTCCCCCTTGTAAAGACCATGCAAGAGATCTTCGACATGGAGAGGAATGTCGCGTTGCTAAGGAAAGCCATCATGGACAAGGAACAGCCAATGAAAGTCGCCCAGACAAGACTCGATGAACGAACTCGACGAATCAACGTTGAGCTTTGTAACGATCCTGTGATGAAATCGTATGTATACTTCTTTTTTTCATTACATTTGTAGTACTACAACAACTATGACATTTTTTAGTGCAAGTCTACCTTGAATATAACAAATAATAGTATATAGTCCCTATATATATATATATATATATATATATATATATATATATATATATATATATATATATATATATATATATATATATATATATATATATATATATATATATATATATATATATATATATATATATGTATGTATATACATATATATATAATATGTATATATACATATATATGCATATATATACATATATATATACATATATATGCATATATATACATATATATGCATATATATACATATATATGCATATATATATACATATATATGCATATATATATATACATATATATATAAATAAATATATATATATATATATATATATATATATACATATATATATATATATATATATATATATATATATATATATATATATTATATACATATATATATATATATATATATATATATATATATATATATATATATATATATATATATATATATATATATATATATATATATATATATATATATATATATATATATATATATATATATATATATATATATATATATATAATGGCAAAATCTCGTTCTCCCAGGTTACAACGAGAAGTGAACGAGATCAGAGAATCAGTCCGTATCCTCAAGGAAAGGCTGAAATCCTCTGAACTGTCCCTCGCGCGTCTGATCAAGACAAAAGCAAACCTGGAGCACGACATCTCGGTCAAGGACAACACCCTAAAAATAGATTCCTCCTTCTGCATGGGCATGCGCAAAGGTTTCCCAATGGACCCTAAAGTCGGGCCAATATTTCAAATGCCCATTTGCTAGTATTTTTTAAAATTATATTTATACTTTTATTTTACTAATAACATCTATATTAGTAAAATACATCAATGAAATGAATTTTTTATAGGGAGATTACCCACTATTTGCACCTTAAGGGTGATAATTAATGTCTCATATTTTTTATATATTTTTTTATCTATGAAGCACATTGGAATGCATGTTTATAAAATGTCACGCTAGTTTTTATCATTAGCAAAACTCTACTTCTTCTACACTTCATCACGTCCAAGGTGGAACCTCTGTGTTTTGTACATAATTGTAAGTTACATAAGCTCATACTTACCTTTGTAGATATCTCGATGATGTAACATATCTCTCTCAACAGTATTATTTGCTGACTTTAAAGCACATCAGTCCAATTCTATGAGTGTGTGTATGTTTGTTTTTTTATTCTAACCAATGAAAGAATGAGCTCAATAAAAGTATTACAAAAATTTAATATTATAATTGTAATAATTATTTCGTTTTTTTTTAAAGTTCAAGTTTTTAATTTGTTGTTTTTTTTTCTTCTACTATTTTTTATTTGAAATACATAATCAAGAAATTGTTAGCCAGCGTTTGTAGAGCTAATCTGATCGCATTATGTAAAAGTTATTTCAACTGTTTTATTTGCTTTAAATTAATTTAAAGAACATGTTTTATTATTTGGTTAAAGTATTATTTTTCGTTCTTTTTTCACCCTAGTGAGACCTAGTATTTAATCTTTGCACGACAGCATTATTGTGTTATAGTTCCGTAGTTCATTAAGTTGTAGTGTTCTATTTCACTTGATCTGCCGTTATTACATTTTATTTAAACATTACTTAGTTGGTTCAGGATTTACTCTCTTTTTGTAAATCTTGTATATATTGTTTAAAAAATACTAATTTAATTTTAAACCTTATTCCAGTCTTTGAACTGTAAAAAAAAAAAAGATAAAATTATTTTTTGAAATCTGTATTAGACATATATTGTCTATTGACATAATTTTATAATAGATCAGAAGCACCTGTATAATGCAGATATTATTTTCATTTATTTAAAGTTTGACAAAAAAAATCTTATTTCTTTATCAAGGGAAGTAGTTCACAAGCTATCGCGAACATTGTAAACATTTTATTTTTGGGTTATTACCCCTTATCACACGGCCCTATACTTTTAAATTTAAATTTTAAACAAAATAATTATAATATCGTTTATAAAAAGAAAATGTAGTAAGTCAGTTCCTTTGGTGTTCTGTTTATTTCCATTATTTATTTACACTTTTATTCAGTTTTAGCTTTGTGGTTCTCATGTTTGTGCAGGTATTTTATACACAGCATATATATACATATATGAAATATATACTATTATAATCATATTAGATGTATATGTATGTATATGTGTATATATATATATATATATATATATATATATATATATATATATATATATATATATATATATACATATATATATACATATACATATATATATACATATATATATACATATATATATATATATATATATATATATATATATATATATATACATATATATATATATATATATATATATATATATATATATATATATATATATATATATATATATATATATATATATATATATATATATATACACCTATGTATATAACAATAGTCTAATCTATGCATATGTAGAATCAAATTCTTAGGTTCAACTATATGCTGTCCCCAGACTAGATTGCTTCGACTTTCGATACCCACCCACACTTGGGTCAGTGATTTCGTTTGAAGGGTGTTAGCGGTGGACTAGTAAATGTTAGGAAACATTTTTCTCGGGCCTATTGAAATAAACCCACATACACAAATGAGTATAATGTACAGTGATCAGAAAATCTGACTTCGTCACTAATAACTAAGACTTTCTTCAACTCTTAGTTTATTGCCATGTGTCCGTCGTTTTCTCCACTAGGGGTAGACCAATTGTTAAGGGTGATGTTAGGAAGCTGTTTGACAACATCTCACTAGCTAGTAGTTTAGTACACTAGACTGCCAATCCTACTTTCATTGGCGACATTCTGTTGCCTGTGAGGATAGCTCAAGTGTGGATATGTAAACAAGGAGTTTGGTGGTAGCTACATACTTTTGGCTACTATGTTCACTTATCGCTACCTGCTTTCCTGCTACCCACAACACTGCAGGCCACAAACTTCTATCCATGTTGCTACCTTCTCCCAGGTCTATTAGCAGAAAATGTAATTTTACGTTTTAGTTCAAATCTTAATCCTAAATACTCTCAATTAAAAAATTAATATTTGTTTAAGCTTGCCATATACGTCTAGTAAAGGAAACAACAAATTTTAACTTTAATGCTGACAAATAAAAAATTAAAACTTCTTTATCGTATTTCGATTGTATTATAAGTGTAGGTGTAATAAGTTGAAAACATCTTTTTTCAGTTTTCTTTTAAGTTCTTTTTTGTCACGCGCAGTGTTTATAAAAAGAAATGTATTTATTGAAAGCTTTGCTGATTCAAACTTGTCATTTATTTTATGTTATATTAGCTCGTTCAGACTGTTACAAAATATCCATCGTAAGTAATTTTTTTTTAAATACCCCTAAATTTAAGAATTTTAAACATTTTCTTTCTACAAAATATTATGACCCTATGTACAGACTAATAAAAACCGGTTTGTTAAAACTAATCTTTGTTTAACATCGAAATTCAAAACTGCTGATGAATGTCCTATACCATCACAAACTGAGAACCACTGTAGTTAGTTGTGTACATTGTAGATTGAACCACCAATAACCTTATTCTATAACCCAGTACTTCGCCACTTGTGTAGTACTACCCAGTACGTCACATGTGCGATGAAGTATCCTCATCCATTCAAAAGGCTGTGATATTTGTGAATAAACTCAACATATTGCGTTGATATTTTTAATGCTATTTATTAATATTGTTTATCTAAACACTCATTCATTTTTTAATTACCACTGATGTTTTTTTTCTTAAATCCCACCTTTGTATTTTTGTTTTTGTCTTGACCTCATCAACGCCTTGAACCGGTTTTGTTGTGAACTCATTTAAGACACCAGGTAAAAACAACTACGTAAAACATCTCCATATCTAGGAATCCAGGTGAATTTAGAGTTATCTACAATCAGCATCTTTTTTTTTTCGTAGCAAACAATTGGTCAATTTTGTTCTTGTTTGTTTAAAATCTAAAGCGGTATCAAATATCCGAGGGACAAGACTATTCTTTTCTTTCTTATTATGTTTTTTTATATTCAAATTTAGTCAGTTATAATAGTAAAAACAAGTAAAAGTGATTTAAAATTTTATTTTAAAGTACAGTAATTTTTAAAGGTATCATTACTTTACAGATTATGCACAATAACTAAATTTTTGTCTTTTTAAAAAGTATATTATTTTTTTTTGACCAAATTTTATCCGTCCATAATGGTACCAGAATGGTGTTGTTTCCGTAGATTTCAATGAGGGGAAAAAGTATTTATATTTCATAACGTTGTACTGTTTATATCTGTCTCATTGTTTAAAACAGGTTGTTGTTTATTTTGATTACATAAAAAAATGATACCTGTCGTTTATTTTCGATTGAATACATTTCAAAGTCATGTTTTATTGAATTAGAAATAAATATTTTTAAATTGATGTTTTTCTTTTCTACTAGATGAGAAATTGTAAAAGTGTGTTTGTACAATGCATATGAGTTTTTGTACAAGGCATATGTGTGTTTGTACAATGCAGTGTCGGGCAGGGTGCCTAGTTTACCGCAGTGTCGGGCAGGGTGCCTAGTTTATCGCAGTGTCGGGCAGGGTGCCTGACGGAGTGGTCTAGCGGTAGAGAACTGAACTGCTAACCCGTAAGTCTCGAGTTCGAATCCGGGTTCAAGTCAGTAGACCGTCCCTGAGTCCACCCAACTCTGATGGGTACCTAACTTATGTTAGGGAAAGTAAAGGCGGCTGGGCATAGTGCTGACCACACTATCTCTTCATATGCCGAGATCACAGGAACAAGTGAACTCTACTTCACTTGCCCCATAGACCGTCAGGTTTGAAAGGGAAACTTTACTTTTACGGGCAGGGTGCCTAGTTTACCGCAGTGTCGGGCAGGGTGCCTAGTTTACCGCAGTGTCGGGCAGGGTGCCTAGTTTACCGCAGTGTCGGGCAGGGTGCCTAGTTTACCGCAGTGTCGGGCAGGGTGCCTAGTTTATCGCAGTGTCGGGCAGGGTGCCTAGTTTATCGCAGTGTCGGGCAGGGTGCCTAGTTTACCGCAGTGTCGGGCAGGGTGCCTAGTTTATCGCAGTGTCGGGCAGGGTGCCTAGTTTATCGCAGAAATTTTTCAAATCTGATGTAATCAATATTCTTATGTCGTATACTTCCTGGGATTATCTTTGGCTGTGACTTTTATAATTTAAATAAGAACGAGCTGACCCGCTGCGTATCATACGCCGCTATTTAGTTGTTGTTTTTTTCTACTTTTCAGTAATTTATAATTTGTGAATTCGACAGTACCAATGCTCCCACTGAAAATATTTGCTTAAAAACACTAACTCCCCTAACAATAGACATATTGCAGAGGCTTAGCGACCCTTCCTCGCGCCCGTGGACAAACTTTCGATTTGCACCCCCCCCCCACGAACTTTTCATTTGCCCCCCCCCCTCAAACTTTCAATTTGGCGCCCCCCCCCCCCTAAGGTTGGCGCCCGGGGACATATGTCCGCCCCCGCCCCCTCACTAGGCCTCTGACATATTGTTATATTGGTTTTTTTTAAGAACTAATACCACCCACTATTTTTTTTCTGTATTTTCTTAGAAACTATCCACCTTTATTATGAAAACAAAAATTGTAAGATTTAATATCTTATTTATTAAATCCCAGTTATTAATATTCCCTTTAAATACGATATATATATTACACCTTTCTCCTTTTGTATTGTAATTTAATGTAATATCCTTACTCATTCGGGGAGATACTTGTGGCAATGGATCCAAGGTGTATGATTTAGGAACCACAACCGATAAAATATTAACTCATAAAAGTTGTTTACATAGTTATCTAACATGCCCATTTAGATTGTTGGATCCATGGATGTCATTTTAATTGATCGAAATAAAAAAGTCGTCACTATTCCCCAAACAATTTTGAGTACCTGTTTTAGCTGCCACTGCTCTGGTAAGATCGAAGTTAAATGTTTACCTCTAGCGCCAGTTGGACACAACCAAACCATTACTGTAAACAAAAACATCCCGAGTTTAATTTTTTAATGAGAATAATACACTAAGCGTCAAATATAAATAATGTTAGCCCTGCTCTCTTTATTTACTGTTGGAATTTCTCGGCCTGACCCCGGCAGTTAAGTCCAGGTAAAATGGTATGCCTATTCTCAGACGGTTGTTATTTAGTGGTTTTCATTCAGATTTTCTGCAATAGAAAATGTAAATTTTAACCAGTATCTTCGTTCGT